AATTGATACAGGAGGGCCCAGCCCTGGACTGTGTGAGGAAGCTGGCTAGGGAAGCTGAGTAGAAGCTAGAGTGAGCGTGCCAGCAAGCAGTGGTGTTCCTCCATGGTTTTTGCTGGAGTTCCTGCCCTGATTTCCCTGAATGATAGATTTTAATTGTAAGATGAAATTAACCATTTTCTCCCCGAGTTGCTTTTGGTTGTGGTATTTATCACAACAACAGGAAAACAAATGAGACAAATGCCCCTTGACCTTTCTGGTATTACAGTCAGTACTATTTCCACTATTCCAATGTTGAGTAATTTTCTGGGGTCTGTTCCTTTTATCAAAGCAACTGCCAGTGGCCTCACTTTGTTGGGGGTAGGGGATTATCCAAGGAATGTGGTAACACATAGTTTTGAAACTGAACAACCTGGACTCATTTGCAAGATGTCCACTAGACACCGGCTATCCTGAGGACTGGGAAGTATCCCATGGTTTGCTGTATGTATGCTTTGGGGTGCCTTGGAACAGACATTGAGAATCATGGTGTTGAGTGCATCATGACTTTATTCTCTCTGACTCCGTTCTCATCTTTGTATGGCGCTTCTGCCTGAGAGGTGAAAGAAACACACATTTTCAGGTATCTAAAACACATGCCCACTGTGTGTATGTTCTGAGAGATACTAAAAAACCAAACAAAAAAGCCTCCTCTGCCTGTGATTTTCTTTTTCATTTTTACTGCAACCAGTTTTCTTAAACATGACCAAGTATGGAGTCAGATAGTCAGCTTTGTGTTTGTGTAGTCAGGCTTCTCAACCATGGATTCAGCTGGCCACACATGGCACTCTCTGGCTATCAATTATCTATAGTCAATTTATTTACCTTTTTTTTTTTTAACCTTAGAGAAGTACCCCAGTGGGCCAAGGGCTGCTGAGTCTGAGTATGAACTTGAAGTCCTAACATCGAGCTTCTACCTCTAGAATGGTTGGGGTTACAGGCTCTGTTCACTCCACCATCCCATTTTAGGCAGTGCTGAGCATGGAACTCAAAGCCTCTGCTGTGCTAGCCCTGCCTTCTACCCACTGAGCTACATTCCTATCGTGATGTCATTGTCATCTGTCACTTATCTATCATCTGCCATCTGTCATATATATCCCCCCGTGTGTGTATATATAGTTTTCTTATATGAATATACTATATATAGCTATATGCAATATGTATGTATGTATGTATGTATGTATGTATGTATGTATATATTTACTTTTCTTATATGTACAGAAGAAACTTCTATCAGTACTGACCATGTGCAGGCTTTCACCTTGTGAAAATTCCTTAAACAGTAGTACAGCAACCATTTACATGACATTTACACCATATTAGCTGTGGTTAGATAGCTAGAGCCCACCTACCATGCATGGGAGGGTGTGCAAGTTGCATGAAAAACATCATGTCCTTTACTTAAGGAACATAGCATCTGCTGAGGATCTCAGAATCTGTTCCCCATGGTGCTGAGGGTCAGGTTGCTGAACTTGGGGTCCTGTTTCTTTCAGTAGGCATTCTGTAATGGATATGGAAACTTCTCTAAACTCTGTGTTTCTCTCCTTCCTCATTGAAGGAAGTTGTTGAAAGTAGTTCATACTCCCCCTGCTCCAAGGAAACTAAAAGAAAAAACAAGAAAGAAAAAGGCCCAAGTGTGGTGGTGGATCACACCTTTAACCCCAGCACTCCAGAGATAGAGGCAGGCTTAGCTCTGTGAGTTTGAGGCCAGCCTGGTCTACACAATGAGTTCCAGGACAACCAGGGCTATGGAGAGAAGCCTTGTGTGAAAATGTAAAGAAATAAATAAGAGAAAGTGGTTAATAATACTGCCTGTAAGCCCCCAGAGATGATTGGTTCGACATTTATGAAGTGGTGTGACTAATAGTTTATAAAGGAGAGAGACGGGTCATTTGCTTCTTTGAGATTGAATCTTGGCAGCCATGAGCTCATAAAGCTATAAGAAATTGTTGGCTGTACTTAATGGGCCATTTGTTGTGTTAAAATCAGTAATACTAAATATTTATTAGCTAAGTGGAAAGATTTATCTCTGTAAATTGCCGTGACTCATCTTTCCGCTTGCTAATCTTGGTTATTTAGAATTTTCTGTTTAAAAATGAAGTCCTATTGTAAGTCATCCAGTTTTTCCTTCCTGAGACTTGCTGTGTATATTATGAGCCTTTACTGTCGACATACATTTTAGAAGTAGGTTATCAGTTTCTGTGGGAAGTGTGTTTTAATCTGTACATCCACCTGAGGAGAATTGGAAATGTAGCCACACTGAGTCTTCAAACTACAAGTCTGGTATTTCTCTGTATTTATTTAGGTCTTATTTAATTTGTTTTGGCACTATTTTGGAGCATTCAGTGGACAGTTCTTGGATAACCTTTCTTAAATATTTCTCCAAGAATTTTAATTCTTTTGATGTCATTATGGTACTAAAATTTTTTGTTGGGATTATTTATTGCTAAATATACAATGGATTTTGTAATTGATCTTTGTTCCTGTGGCATTGAAACTCACTTATTTTGGTATTTTATTCCTAAGACTTTTCTAGAAGGACCATCATGTCATTTGCAAATGAACACAATTTTTATGTTTTCCTTTCCAAACTTCATGCCTTTTATTTTCCTCTCTTGCTTCATTGTATGTGGGCCATCATACAGGGCATCCAGTTCCAGCTTCTGTATAAACATGGAACAATTAGGAAGGGCCATCCTCAGCCTCCATGTGATTTCTAGGCTATGGGAACAATGCAGAAAGGGTGGAGGTCATGCACCACATCGTGTGCTGGACTTGCAGCCTCCTGGCAGGTCGCTCCATTGGGGTGGAGCAGTGGAGTAACTGTGTGAGCTGAGAAACAGGCACAGGCTGTGATCACAGGTTACCCTTCAAACCAGTGCAGGACCTCTGCCTCCCTCCTATCCCTGTTGTTTCACTGATGTGCAAAGTGCAGCTGGCTTGTCACTGTCTATCCTGTCTCTCTCAGTTCTTTCTGCCTCATCTACAGAGTGGGAGAGCTCTGCGTTCATAACTAGAGTCACATGCTCTTTGTTTTGATGCCTCTTGTCAGGCTGTGTGTTCTGATTGGGGATCGAACTGTAAGGAGCAAACCACACACACACACACACACACACACACACACACACACACACACACACACCTCATCCTAGCGGCAATGGTCCCATCTTACTGGTGAGAAAATTGGTACTATCCTGTAGACTTAGGATGGGTCTCAGGCCTTCATGTGCCTAGGCTACATCCATCTTGTAGCTTTTCTGGTGACAGATCTTGGAGCAAGTTTCTCTACCTGCATCAGAAAGGAGAATCGAGTTAATTATCCTTCAAAGCCGGAGTCTCACAGCTGTGCTTATGGTAGTTTCAGAAGACCACGTGCCCTCTGGTTGCTGGCCAGCTGGAGTTAAACCTCCATTTGGTCCTTGCCCAGGAAGCTGGTCCCAGGAAGCCCAGATGTACTTGTTTACAGCTGTCTCTCCGTGATCGTTGCCAGACTCTGTGTTCAGAAGGAATGTGAATGTTCTACTCCCATAGTTCCATCTTTTATTTGGGTGTTCAGGGGACACACCAATTAATCACAACTACCTAGAAACCAGGGAGAGAAACTGTGATGATTTAAATAAGGACCCCCCCCCACACACACACCCCATAGACATTTCAGCACTTAGTTCCCAGTTGGTGGTGATTTAAATAAGGACCTCCCCACACACACACCCCATAGACATTTCAGCACTTAGTTCCCAGTTGGTGGTGCTGCTTAGGAAGGTCTTGGTGGTACAGCCTTGCTGGAGGAAGTACATCTTTGGGGGTAGACTTTGACATTAAAAGCCTCGTGCCACTTTCCATTTTCTCTCTGGTTTGTGCTTGTGGTTGAGAATGTAAACTCTAGGCTTCCTGTTCCTGCCACCCACTCCATGATGGGCTCTTTTTCTGTTTCATTTTGCTTTTGGTTTTTCGAGACAGGGTTTCTCTGTGTAACAGTCCTGGCTGTCCTGGAACTTGCTCTGTAGACCAGGGTGGCCTCAAACTCACAGAGATCCATCTGCCTCTGCCTCCTGAGGGCTGGGATTAAAGGCGTGCGCTACCACCACCTGACCCTTGATGGTCTCTTGTCTCCCTGGAATGAATGTAAGCCCTAATAAACGGTTCCTTCTATAAGTTGCCTTTGCCATGGAGTCTTAGTCACAGCTGCAGAAAGTAACGGATGCAGAAACAGATCCCTGTGATGCCACGGTGGATGTGGGAACTCTGCATAGTTGATGAAACTATGGAGCTGGGGAAGGCTTCCCAGATTTTCCTGCTGTTTATTTTCCTTATTAAGACCATTTAGTATCCATGGAGGAATCCTTGCCTCAGTTTCCCCAAATATAATATGGTAACAGTACTTATTTTCAAAGTCTGTAAGAAAATAGAGAGTTAAAAAGCTTTGGAAGTAGACATACTAAGTTGTTGTCATGCATTTGCCAAATTAGTTTATCTCCCTAGAAGTTGTAGTCCTTTTCCCGAACCCGAGAATATCACACCGTGGGAAAAGAGATCAGATTCCTTGGCTGCATCAAGCAACTTAGGGAGAGGACCCAGGCTGAGGGGGAACAAGAGAGGCCTGGAGGCCTCCTTGTTTATGGAGGCACCCTTCCAGCATGGGAAGCTGGTCCCCGCCGCATGTCCCTCTGCCCAGTTATGTCCAGTTGTAGTACTGCGGACCTTAGTGGAGCAGGGATAATCTACAGATGTCCTGGAACTTCTTGGGGAGCCTGGGGACATGCAGCTGCGGTGGGTCACGATAGGCCTGGAAAGGTTCCAGTTCTTAGCCCAGAGCCTAGGGAATGATTGTTTCCCTTCCACAGAGGGTGTGTGTGTGTGTATGCAAATGTGTATATGTGAGCATATATATGTTCTGTACCTGTGAGTGTAGGCCTATGTGTAAAAGTGCATGTATGCACATGAGTTTGTATACCTGGGTAAGTATGCATGCATGTAAGTGTGTGTTGATGCTTTAATGCATTTTGGCTCCCTCAAACCCATCTGTATCTTGTTCCAGGCCCCAGCATCACTAAACTGTTTCATCTTTGCTTTTGTTCTCAGGGCAGGAAGACCCCAACAGTTTGCGCCATAAATACAACTTTATTGCTGACGTGGTGGAGAAGATCGCTCCTGCTGTGGTTCACATTGAACTCTATCGCAAGTAAAGGGCGCCTTCCTTTTCCCGTAATGTCTGAAGCTTTCACTAATAAACGACAGAGCTATTTTTGAAGCACATTAAAGTGTCAGGAATGTCACTGGGTAGATTCCTATATTATGATAGAGTTCTCTGCCTTAGGAAAATTTCCCTACTTAAATCTATAACCTTGGCCCTTCTTTTAATAACTTCTAGCTCTGAAGAGATTCCCAGGGAATATTTTCTAAGTGGAATTTTTGATGCATTCCAAAAAGTAGCTTAATGTTATTTTTAAAACATTAAACACTGGCTAGATGTGAGTGAGTTGCTCTCGCAGAGTCATTTCCGTGTGTGTGTGTGTGTGTGTGTGTGTGTGTGTGTGTGTGTGTGTGTGTGTGTGCATTATTCTCTCCTCTTTCAGGTTTCTTAGTCCACAAAATGAATATCTAGTCTAGGAGGACTGGACAATTAGCAGGAGGAAGAACTCTTTTGAAGGTTCATCTGTCTCCCATTACCTTATGGGCAGTGTCGTCAGTCAGTGCATTAGGGCTCTGTGGGGTTTTTAGGAGAACAATATAAGGCTTGTATTTTTTTCTGTGCCCTGCTTGTGAGGTACAAAAAGTAACTGAAAATCACCATGGATCTTACTAAAAATGCACTAGCGTGTGGATGGACAACTGTTACACCAAGAGAGTACAGTGAAGCAGAAACTCACGTTTGCCCACAAACTGCTGTGACTTAGATTCTCCTGCACCTGTGAATCCTCAACTCATCCAAGAGGGTGGCACTAATCTTCGAAAGGGGGATGAATTTTGCAAGAAGTGGAACAAGAGATGGTAGATGCATCTGTTACAAAGTTATTTGATACATATATGGAGGTGTTCCTGGATTCTTGGTGTGTAGGAAATAACTTTTAAAAGATTTTGAAGAATTATTTTTAATCATGTGTTGTGTTTGTATGTGAGTATGTACCTAGGGACGCCAGATGCCCTGGAGCTGGAGTGACAGACGATATAAGTCACCTGACACTGGGTCTCTGTGACACTGGGTCTCTGCAAAAGCAGTGTGCACCTTTAACCACTGAGTCATCTCTCTAGCTCCTTGTCAAGGTTTCTATACTCAAGGTTTTGGGAACTTTAAGACAAAATTAACATCTTTTCCTTGAGCCCCTTAGAGTCTGCAATATGCTGATGTGCACATAGCCTCCTGCAAAAGGGCTAGAATGCAATATCTTCCCAAGTTATAATTTTCTTTTTTTAACAATCTTTTTTTATTTTATATACTAATCCCAGGTCCCCCCTCCTCCCCTATTCCTGTTACTCCCACCTTCTGCCCACTCAATCCCCCATCCACTCCTCAGAGAGGGTGAGGCCTCCTATAGGGAGTCAACACCACATTGAGGTCCAAGGCTCTCACCCCTGTATCTAGGCTGAGCAAGGTGTCTCTCTATAGGGAATGGGCTTCAAAATGCCAGTTCACGCACTAGGGATAAATCCTTGTCCCACTGCCAGTGGCCACATAAACTGCCCAAGCCACCCAACTGTCACCCATGTTCAGAGGGTCTAGTTCGGTCCTATGCAGGTTCTCCAGCTGTCAGTCCAGAGTCAGTGAGCTCCCACTAGTTCAGGTCAGCTGTTTCTGTGAGTTTCCCCATCATGGCCTGAGGGGTGGGCTGGTGGGGAGGTGAGAAAAAAATAAAATTTAATGGAAAAAAATTCTTTAGATAGAAGGTAAGAGGGTCAGTGGTTAGTGCAGTAAAAGACACCACTGGGTAGCTAATGAAGTATAGCAACTTGTGAAGCTCTTGCTTGCTTCTCATAGAACCGTTAATTATGAAGTCAGCTAGGCGTGAAGTCCTACTATGTGCTCTGGCTGTTGGGTAGACAGCTCAGTGTACCGTTGGGGCAGTAGGATGCTTCGTCGTTTATCTTTTTAAAAATAGTATCAGGCATTCTTTCAGAAAAACCACAGGTCCAGACATTCACCCCCCACACCTAGCCTATTCCCTTACCTTCTCGGAGGCCTCGTGGTGAGGCCAAGACTGAAGGCTGTAGTAGATACTGGCTCTGTGCCCATGTGGGCGCCTGACTCTAGCGAGGTCACAGTTGGCACGGTTGCGTGTTATTTCTGCTAGGTTACTGTGGAATTTCTACCAACAGTTCATCTTTCTAAATGTGTTTATTGGTACTAAGACAATTGAGCAGGCTCTGCCTTCACATTTAACCATTCTCTAATACACAGGGTAGCTGTGTTATTCCCATTTTACAAAAGAAGGACGAATGCTCTGAGAAAACACCTGCTCCTTGTCATCCCTAGGCTGCAGATTCCAGGTGCCCAACTCCATGGCCATTACCACAGGGACAGAGACTGGCCTTTACATGGGATGGAATAGTATGATCTTAAATAGGTTGGTGCATCCCCATTTAGGCATGCTGCTAGCAAGGTGTCTAGGATGTGGTGTTAGCACCGGAAGGAGGTTGGCCAGAATAGCACACTCGGTGGTCACGTGTAGTACCTTCAGATTCACTGAACTCATGGAAGACAGCCAGCATTGGGAGCCTCCTGGCCATCTGCAGGCAGGGCTCTGGCCTGCGTGGTGTGTGAGCTGTCTCCTCAAGTAATTTCATGTTTGGAATGCGTGGGTGCATACCACGTGACTGCTTCCAGCCCAGGGATAGTCTTCTCTGATTTCGAGCCAATATGGAGACAGGAGCCTCGTGTCACCTCTGGCATGGCCAGGCGAAATGTGAAAACTCTCAACAGAGGAGCTATGTGAAGGATTTCAGGCGGTCTCTAGGAGTCTAGCTCTTTAGCCAGAAGCTTGATGTGTGACATGTGCTGCACCCCCCCTCCCCAAGGATGTTTGGAAATGTAAAATTGAACTGAGCTGACGTAGCATTGGAAAATGGAATTGGAAATGAAAGGCTATTACGATGCAGACACCCACATCAAAGCCTGATTTCTGCCGACTACCCCCCCCCCCCCCCCTTTTTTTTGTTTTTGCCCGTTTTGTTGTGACGGGGTTTTTTGGGGAAGAGCCCCCCCCCCCCCCCCCCCGCCTTATTTTGTGTTTGTTACTGTTCTGATGAGAGCTATTTGTGGAAAGAGTCTGGCCTGGCTTGTAACAAACCTTGATTGGAAAGCAACTGGCCACCCAGGTCATTTTTGTTCCTGCAGAATTTACCCCTTAGTGTGTGATGTGATTGCGGTGTGGTGGGCAGATGGGAGGGGGGCTTGCTTGGCATTGTGTCCTCTTAGGCAGCAGCAAAGAAGCAGGTCAGGGAAGGTCGGAGAAGACGGCCTAGGATTGTGGGTGTGGTGGTGCATATCTACAGTCCTGGCATTTGAGGAAGAGGGGGGATGTGAAGGATAGATCAAGGAGCTTAAGGACAGCCTCTGCTAAACATCAAGTTTGAGGTCAGCCTGGGCTTCAGGCAGGGACATCACTCCCAAGGGTGTTCTGTCATGTGAGAATATGATTGGGCCTTCCCAGGGCCATTTAAGAACAGCCCAGTGAAGACAGTGTTGGATGTCGAACCACGTGCACAAGCCTAGTGACTAATTCAAGGGCTGGTCATCTGGGCCCAGTTTCTCATCAGCATCTTGAGTTTGCTTGAAAGATTCTCTGTGACTCACACCGCAATTGCTCCTTTTGAACATGTGTTTCATGAAATGGAAGGTGTAATCAACACCTGATGTCATTGTCCTCTTGATATGCATCTCCCTTTTTTTGTCTAAGTGCATGAGCCATCCTTTCTTCCAAGGGGATCTGCTCCTCCACCACTGGAGAGCCCGGGAGTGGCTGTGAGCCGCAGTGCCTCAACCCTCATGGCCCAAGTAGGGTGAACACATGCTGCCCCTTAAAATTTCGAACCGTTGTTGCATGCTGCTCACAGAAAGGACACTGTGTAAGGCTACTGCAGCCACTGCTACAGCGCAGGCCCTGCCCGAGCTCCTTCACTTCTTCCCACTCAGAGTGTGCCTCACATCTCTAAGGACTTGAAGCTGCTTGGCTTGCAGTTGCCAGAGAGGTTTCTGGGCTTGTGACCAAAAGACTCTTCTGTTTCTCTCTGCTGAGCCGACACATATTCGTTCACTCTGCTTGCTGCATTTTGAGACCCTAAAGGACTTAGTGGAGAGGTTCACATGAGGAAACCCTTTTGTGGGCCTTGTGGGCTGGACTACGAATCCACCCTTGAGGAGAGGGGGGTGGCTCCCGTGGGTCCTCCCTAGCCTCAGGGGATGCTCCTGTCCCAGAGCTGACACTAAGGGTCCTCAATGGGGATCAAAGTTGGTCTGGAAGTGGGGGGGTGGGAATCACACATGTCAGAATTTTAATGGAAAGCAGCTTTGAGGGCAAACTAGTTCAGCTTGGGATACAAACTACTTCCAAATGTGTTTAACACGAGCCACTGGCCATGTGTACAGAATATTTTTAATTTGTATTCAAAGGAAGTTTTTTTTTTTTTTCTTACACCCCCCCTCCCTCCTGCCAGCAGTTAAAGAGGAGAGAACCTTGAAAGATGGAGGGAAACATAAAAAGTGAACCAATCAGGCATCTTCAGTCTGGAGCAGGGGCGTGGGCAGAAATACCAGCAAGTGTTAAGAAGGTAGAAGGGAAAGTGCCTTTGTCACATAGCTGATTTTCCAGCTGTGCTGATTCCTTTGGACGATGCCCATCCCATCCCATGCAGTCTCTGTAGGTTCCTTTCTGAGTGTCCTAAACTCCTCCTTGATCACCTGACTTGATCTGGAGCCCCTTCCCTCATCCTCCTGCTAACCCCCTTGCCATCTCCACAAGTCCCTTGGGGCTTAGAGCATTCTCTCTTTCTGGCTTTCCCTTGTCCTTTAGGTATTTGATCACATCCTGCTTTAGACCGCAGGGACATCTCTCGTCTGACTCATTGGGGTAAAGTAGTTCCCCACATCTGAGTCCCCGTAACATCCTCCATCATGGGAGGGACAAGACTCCATTCACTCAATATTTGCTGTCCTTCCTCATTTAAATAGAAACCTGACGCTACTTA